TTTAGGAGTTTAAGAAAGTAGTTATTTAAATAAAATTATCTCAAAATTAACAGTGGTTAATAATTTTAATGAGCTGCCATCTTTTGACCAGCGAATAAAAGAGTATAAAACTTTGCGCTCTTGTAACAAAAAGCCGAATTAAATGAGTACGTTTCTACAAAAAAGTTTTAAGACAGAAGTTGCTGGGGCTTTACATCTTTAGTTGTGTTCATTTTTTTAAGTTATAGATAAAAAATAATGAATTCGACGTAGACGTAACAAATTAGATGATGACAAAACCAGCAGGATATTGGTGGTTTATGTATTGATTGGACGACATGAGATGACAGTCTTTAGTAGCACCTCTAGTTCCTGCCGTTATATTGGTGCTGTATAATTTACTATTGACCGACAGATTGCTAAATTTTTCACGCACTAAACAGCCGACGAAAACTTTAACTTAAGATTCGCTGATATGCAATTGAGATCGCTTTCTCGTGGAGTCCTTTAGGCAACTTGAAAGGACCAAATTAATGTTTTAATTTCTGACGTTGGATAACTAGTAGATGACACCAAATCGGAAGATCTGAAGAAGTCAGCACCCGGCGACGCCTCAGACTTTGGAACATGAGGCAAGGCATTTTCCAAATATTAATGCCTCCAAGCATGTAGATATCTGCGAAAAGAGGTTTAGAGCAGATCGACGCTTCAGAGAAGGTGACATAAACCTCGAACAGAACAAATTTAAATACTGAAAGGGCTACATATGCTATGAAAATTTTATCGTATATCGTCGGTGATACTGTAAAACGTTCTATGTCACTTACTACCTCTGGTGCTTAATTTATCTGTTATCTGTATCTGATCGCTTCTGGCAATCGTTTATCTTCATCAGCCAAAGGTAGACAGTTTTGGCATTCGTTTATTACGGTGTAAGGATTTGCATTCCGGTGCAAGTAAGATACCATCTAAGTATCAAGGGTACTAATAGACATATACCGTTTTGCAGTATCACCGACGATATATGCAAATGTAAGATCGAACATGTTTCAACTAACTTCGAACAAGCAACATGTTGCTGCTGAATCAAAAAAAAAAAATAGCTAGCCGGCATTTTAGAGAAAACATACCAACTGCTGAACTTGTTTTGTTTACATTTTAATAGACGCTGCTTTGTCAAATTTAGCGCACAAATACGACAAGCTGGTGTGGTGAGTTTCGTACCCATATTCATCTACACACGGCACATTCCGCACATACAAGTTTACCTGTTGCATGTAGAGCGGCGAATATGAACTGAGGAGGCATGACAGGTACCTACTCGGCGCCGTTGGACAATATTGATAAGTTGCATTTTCACGAGCTCTTGTTGAGCTCTGCAGCCTATGGATAACACCTACACACAGCCTTTCCTAGAGTTACACTGTACGCTGTGCCCGAGAATTCACGGTCAGTCAATTGGGATTTTCCCACATTTCAAGAAGCGGCACTGGCTTATATTTGTACACGTGTTGTGTACCACAACAACAACAACAAAAACAAAGTATGGAATGTCAACCAAACAAAGCAGGCTCTTTGTCGTCCTTTGTGCATTTCACGCTTATCACCCCCAATGCCTTTTTTCGTGTTTTGTCCTCAACGTTTTAGAAGGCACAGTAACTGCGTTAATTTCATTTTCGTTTTTGTTTTTTTTCAAATTTATTACCATTTAAAATCAGTTGTGCCCATTTTTTTTGTGTAGCATTTGGCGTGTGTTTGTTCTTTGTAATTTTTTATATTTTTTCTCTTTGGCATTTTTCGACCTAAACTATTTTTCGTTCGTTCGTATGTCTTTCCGATTATCCTTTTTCGCTGCGCTTAATCTTTTTTTGTTTTGTTTGGCATATGCCTGTGACGTTCCGAAGAGGAATCTACTTGAATTACTTGAAGGCTCATTGTTCAAATTCAATGCGCCTGTCATTTTTGGCTGGAAACAAAGTAAACCACACAAGTGCCCATTTGATCGTCCAACTTATGTACTTACATATCTACATACTATTCAATTTATGTCCATATGCATCTCAGCATGTGTGCTCATAAGTAGTATTGCGTGATGCTTTAGAGCAAATGACAAAAAGGCTGTTTTGTCTTGCGAATATCCTTTTAGCAGTTCGGCTTATTTTAAAAGGATTCCTAGTAATCGGTAAGTTGAAAGGGGTTTGAACAGTGATTCACACTTTGAGCAGAAGAGTGAGTAAGATATTTGTACTTGAGAGTCTGGGTTTGGGCGTACTTTCGCCTAACTTTATAAAACAATTATAGAATATTATATATTCGGAGAGCGAGAATCCATCGCCGGCATCTTCTTGGAGAGCCTGCAGATTAGTATTTTTGTCTGCCAAATGACTGCAGTGGCTTCCAAGCTGGCATGCATATATGCGATAGAGAAGCCATGTACTCTTATATGGTCACCTTTTTCATCACTCTGTCAAGGCTACAGAACGATTAGGAGAGTGGACTCACGCTCAATAGTACAACGAACAGCTAGTTTCCGGGTGAAAGCATGAATCGAATATTTTAGAGTTTAATTGGTTAGGATTAGTCAGATCAAAATAAGATAGAGGTATTGTTTAAGGGAAGATCTCCCTCAAGTGACGCCTTCCACACAATACTTCCTCTAAGCCTACATCCCTCACGTACAGCAGCAACGCCTTTGAGGGTAGGGAGTAAGTGCGCTCTAGCTGTGGTCATATCGAGCCTAGTCTTCTGTCACGTCATCTGCAGATGGCATCACACTCGGTAAGAATATGTAATGGTGTCTACCCTGTCGATTCGCAGAATCTAAATAGGTACTTGACTATATTCCTAGCCGATACAGATGCCTTCTTAGTCTGCAGGTCTGCAGTGTCGGGTAAGGAAACCTGTTAGTATTCTAAGCTTCTCCGTTGGAAGGTTAATCAGGTTTTGAAATATTTTATTGCTGTACCCTCCCAGTAGACCCTTTGCCTGCCACAGTCCTACTGAGCCACGCCAACTTAGGTACCTTAGTGCGTTCCTCTCCTTCCTAAGCTATTCCCTAAGATTATTAGGGCCTACCCCCAGGAACGGCTCGGGTCCAGCTGAAGTGATGGCGGCCACCTCTCTCGCGAGACAGTCCGCCGTCTGATTACCTTCTATTCCCTTATACTCGGCCATACTCATGCTAATTGAATATTGTTTTACCTGCCAAGGGAATTAACTTTCTCGACGCACTTAAGGACTAGTGACCTGATTTCATATGAAAATTGAGACTTGAGTACTGCCCAGCTGTCGCTTAAGAGCGTGATCTTCCCGTTCCGTATCCTCTCTGTATCATAAACTCCGGAGTCCCGAGTCTTCGACCCGGAGTCTTCGAGCCGGGCTGGGAATGAGTCACACAATGTCAGCCTGGAAAAGGGTCGAGGAGAAATTCTAGTCAGCTTCGAAAGTATGGACGAAATGTTATGCTTAGCTATACCAAATGGGCAGTTGCTTGTAAGTATACATAAATTGTTAATGGTTTGTAGGACTATAAAGCTGCCCTGACCATCCCGAAGAACCTGACCTCGTTTTCGTACCACCTTTAAAAGATCCAAGAGTAATTTGTGACTGTTTTTTCAAAGAAAGGGGGAAAATTACGTTTGGGAGAGTATATTTCGCCGAGATAAAGAATTAAGGATAGTATCTCCTGCAATCTAGACAGACGGGGTCGATTACGAATTAAAACAAAAATACCCAAAAGTACTGAAAATAAGTTGCTCAAAGTAAGTACCTGAGATTACAAGGAGTTAGTTCAGCATTTCGCATTACTCGCTTTGAGAAATATACCAAAATTTCCATTCTTCGCTATTCAAAAATGAAATCATCTCCATAATGTTACACAATACCACACGCTGTTCCTTCTGGTACATCCTCTATTTACATTGCACGTACCTGTGGCTCATTTCATTCAAAAGGAAAAAAAATAACATTTTCACATTCCATTTCCTTCCACTCATTCATTCATTATTTATTCACATGTAAGATTCTTTTTCATTTTTGGAAACGTACAATGCAAATGTGTAATCCTTTCATACAATTATCACACAGCCCTTTAAATAAGTTTTGTGCTGGAATGATGTTTTTATTATTTGTCTGTGAGCAGTATTTCCAGAAAATTTGAATGGCACGATCAGCAAAACACGATCAGTGGTTGCCAGACCGCTTTATTCCAGTGCGTCGCTAATGCCAGAGTGGAGTTAAGTATTTAATAGATGAACGTTCTTTTACATTGTAATTTGATAGGTTTTCACAAGCATATTTATGTACATA